CCCCCTTCCCGTTTATGTGAAAATCCTAAAAGATAACAAAAGAAATGTTTGTGGTTACGATGAAAATGTGCCACTTGCATCAATAAAAAGGCATCGTCAATCCTGGAGTCACTACCTACATTATATTACACAATAATAACTTATTATTTTCCTTTGTCATTGTACATTCTTGTTGTGTGAGGTGAGGCGTCGCCCCCCCCCCCCACAATATATAAAAAAAAGAAAAGAAAAAGTGCACGTAAAATTTCAAGTTCTTCCTCAGAACTGTCATATTGATCCAGGGATGTGAGGCGGGCGGAGATGTGTTCATGGTGGCAGGCACAACATGAAACGGCTCTCTTTCAACACCACGGTGGACATTCAGAGAGGACAGGAACCAAGCCGGAGGACAAAAGACGAGATAAGAAAAGGGAAAGACAACAAAACGTCAGGGAATGTTCTTGAAGTCCAGTGTCTTTGTCTTCCTCGTAAAGAAAAGAAGAGTTTCTAACAAACAATCACAACGGTCCAGGAAGGGAACTGTCTCCAGTCGCTGAGCCTTGTTGACAAGGTCCAGAGGGAGAGTCCTACCTGGTCGTCTTCTTCTTCTTCTTCTTCTTCTTCTTCTTCCTCCTCTTCCTCTTCTTCTTCTTCTTCTTCTTCTTCTTCTTCCTCCTCCTCTTCTTCTTCTTCCTCCTCCTCCTCCTCATCCTCGCCTCTCAGAGTTGGCTTGTGACTGGGTTTGGCTGAGACGGCAGCTTGGACAGCCCGGAGGTGGGCGGGGGGAGCTGCTCTCCTTCATACAGACTCTTCTGAGGACAGCAGCAGGGGGTTGATGTATTCGAAGCCCTCAAACTCTGACTGGTCTATTCTCTTGATGACGTCCCTGCAGAGAGTCAGAGAGAAACATTTAACAGAAGCCAATATTCCACTTTTTACTCCACTACATTTATTTGACTGCTTTTAGTTACAAGTTACTTTTTAGATTTAGATTATTAGCAAATACAAAATATGAATTCATTCTGAAAATAAACACTGTCATATTTACAGGTTAAGATATCCAGCAGCAGCATATAACGTTATTGAAATGAGCTCTAAGTGTAATGGGGAGAGAGGGATGGGGAGAGAGGGATGGGGAGAGAGAGGGATGGGGAGAGAGAGATGGGGAGAGAGAGAGAGATGGGGAGAGAGGGATGGAGAGAGAGAGATGGGGAGAGAGAGATGGGGAGAGACAGAGAGATGGGGAGAGAGGGATGGAGAGAGAGAGATGGGGAGAGAGAGATGGGGAGAGATAGATGGAGAGAGGGATGGAGAGAGAGAGATGGGGAGAGACAGGCTGGACTGTGATGTTGTGATTCTCCTGAACTGGACTTGTTTTTTTATTGAGCACACATAGGCTAAGACATTTATCGTCGCAAAATTAGATATACTGGACACACACACACACACACACACACACACACACACACACACACACACACACACACACACACACACACACACACCATCTTCTAGATCAGTGGTTCTCAACTGGTCAGGCCTCGGGACCCACTTTTTCCTTAGTCAATAGATCGCGACCCGAAATTTTGAACCACTCAAACAAAAAATGGTGCTGTGATATATACGCTTTTCAGCATATAATATGAATGAAAGTGAAGTACAGTGCATATATCCCTTATATCCTTTCACAGAAC